TATAATCCTGCTTAATGGTGAATACTGAATGCTTTCTCCCTAAAATATGTTTCTGCCATTTCTGTTCAGCATTGAACTGGAGATTCTGTGCAAAGCAATACGACAAGAAAAGAAATTACAGGTACAGGAATTTGAAAGGAGGGCTGGGGAGATTACTCAGTTGCACAAGTGCCTGCCTGGCCAGCTCAAGGTCCCGAGTTCGATCCCCAGTACTGCATGCCATGCAGGCCCCAGAATCCCAGACACAGCATGCCAGCCCCAGAGGCAGGCATCATGGCACATGCCTGTAATCCCAGCACTAGGAAGGCTGAGACAGTCCAAACTGTGTAGCAAGACCTTGTATCAAACAAAATTTTTTTAAAAATTATTTTATTTTTATTCTTTCTTTGCTTCCTTTTGTTTCCTTTTCCCTTTTTTATTTTTTTTTTAAATTTTATTGAGACGCAAATAGCAATGAGATAGTTTCAAGACAGGTTAATAGGACAATTATTATTATTTTTTTTTGGCAAGGGGAGAGTCTACAGGGTGTTCAGGGTCTCACTACAAAATCAGACTCATAGTGATCCACCTGTTTATAGCCTCCCAAGAGCTGAGATTACAGTCATGCACCACCATGCCCAGTCTCAATTGCTGTCTCAGCGTGCCCCAGGGGCAGGGTCAGCACAGCAGGACCAGGGATCGAATCCTCAACCCTTGTGCCTGCTTGCAGTCACTTTAATCCACTGAGCTATTTGGCCAGCCCTCAAAAAAAATTTTAAAGAATTTGAAAGAGAGAAGTAAAACTGTCTTTGTTTATATACACTCATCATTTATGTAGAAAATTCTAAGGAATGTACAAAGAAACTACTAGAGCTAACAAATGATTTTAACAAGATCACACTATACAAGGCCAAAAATTTATAGTGTCATTTTTATGTATATCAATAATCAGAAATTGAAATTAAAAATAGTATCACATAGGGGCTGGAGAGATGGCTCAGTGGTCTAAAGCACCTACTTGGAACAAACTTGGCAAAGCAAAGGGACCGCGGTTCGATCCCCCAGCACCACATGCCAGCCAGCCCCGCCCCCTGGTGGGCTGAGCTGGCCACACACACACA